TTAGAGCATCTCTGGTTTTGGGTGTGGGGGCTGCCTTGGGCACTGGGGACCCTGATGGGGCAAATCCTGGATTGGGGCACCATTGGCCAGTGCTCCTTGGCGCCCAGCAGGAATCAGGCTAGGGTCTGGGGACTCATACTGCATGTTATTCCCAAGGTTCAAACATGGGGTCAGGTCTTGGGTATACCTGCTCACAAATTTGGAGCTTCCCAATTCTGAGAAGCCCCTACCTCAGGGCTCACTCCTGGGCCTAAGTCTCAGCTCCTTGTACCCCTGTCTGCCTCAGGTCTGTTCCAGACCCAGATTTGGGGCTCTCCAGGCTACACCCCCATGTCTGGATCTTGTGCTTTAGGACCCATCTCTAGGTTTATCCCAGTCTCTACGTCACATCTGAGGCCCGTGGAATGCTGAGGGTGTCCCTGGGTTCAGGCGCTGGGGTCTTAGGGTCCATGCCCCCCAGTGTCCCAATCCCACATTGCACAGACCAGCCCTGTGTGTCCTGTTTCTGAGGGAAGTCTCAGGCCTCTGGAAGTCTCGAGGGTCTCAGCCATGGGTCCGCCTCCAGGTCTACTTTCCCTACCTGCTCATCAGCAAGAAGCGGTATGCTGGCCTCCTCTTCTCCTCCCGGCCGGATGCTCATGACCGCATGGACTGCAAGGGCCTGGAGGCCGTGCGCCGGGACAACTGCCCCCTTGTGGCCAACCTCGTCACTGCCTCCCTGCGCCGCCTGCTCATTGACAGGTGGGTGGGACCGTACCCACCCTACCCCCAGCCCCTCTCCCTCAGACCCAGGGGTCCAGGCCCCCAGCCTCCTCCTCCCCTGGGGACACAGGTGTCAGGCCCAGCTTGTCCTCAGTGGGGGAACGGTGGAAAGAGTGTGGGGTTGGACAGCTGTGGGTCTAGGCCCCGCCTCTGCCACCTTGCAGCCTGTGGCCTGGCCCCGTCCCTCCCCGCCTTGGGCCTCAGCCCCCAGAGCACATCCTGGCCCCCCAGGCTCAGGGGTGGTGGAGGTACCAGCCCGGCCCGCGGCAGCCACTGGTGACACACACACACCTCCCCCCCAACCCTGGTCCCTGCAGAGATCCCGCGGGCGCTGTGGCCCACGCGCAGGACGTCATCTCCGACTTGCTGTGTAACCGCATCGACATCTCCCAGCTGGTCATCACCAAGGAGCTGACCCGCGCGGCTGCTGACTACGCCGGCAAGCAGGCCCATGTGGAACTGGCCGAGAGGTCCGCCTGGCACGGTGGGGGGTGCAGGGCCGCCCAGAAATAGCCCCTCTCCTGCCAGCTGGGCGCCGCTTCCTACGCCCCCCGCCCGCCCCCGCCGTCCCACCTGAGCTGACCCGCGCGGCTGCTGACTACGCCGGCAAGCAGGCCCATGTGGAACTGGCCGAGAGGTCCGCCTGGCACGGTGGGGGGTGCAGGGCCGCCCAGAAATAGCCCCTCTCCTGCCAGCTGGGCGCCGCTTCCTACACCCCCCGCCCGCCCCCGCCGTCCCACCTGCCCTCACCCGCCCGGCCGCCCCGGTCTCCCCGCAGGATGAGGAAGCGGGACCCCGGGAGTGCGCCCAGCTTGGGCGACCGTGTCCCCTACGTGATCATCGGCGCTGCTAAGGGCGTGGCTGCCTACATGAAGTCCGAGGTCAGGCCCACCTGGGCTGCCAGCCCCGCCCAGCTCCCCTCAGCTCTCACTTCTGCTTTCCAAGCCTGGCGGGTTGGGGGGGTGTGTTTCCCTCTGTGGGCCCCACAGGGCCCTGAGAACCGCCCCCATCACACCCCTGGGAGTTGGCTCATGATGCCTTTCTCCCAGGCCTCCTGTGCCCTCTGGAGGCGCCCCCCCCATTATTCTGACCCCTCCTTCACTCCCTCTACAGAGGACCCAGCCTCACCGTGCACAGTGGCTCTAACCATCTCTGTTTCTGTGTCTCTCTCTCCTTGGTCCTTGCTCTCCAACCCATAATTCTCTAGGATTCATGTCCTCCCCCATTCCACCCTGATGGCCAGTGACCTCTGACCCCCACGACCCCTTCCTCTGTCCCCAGTTCCGGTCCCGCCCCCTCATATCTTGGCTTCTAGCCTTCGCCCGCCCCCCCCCCTGCCCCGCTACTGTCCACCTTCACACCCCCCAGCAGTGACCTCTGACCTTTGCTTGGTAACCTGAGGACCGCCACCCATGGATCACAGCTCATGGCCAGGGACCCCTCATGGTCTCTGACACCATCCCAGACCCAGGCCCCCCCATTGATGCCACACCCCGCAGGGCGGCACCCATGCCCTGTGACTGCCCCACACCGCTGCCCACAGGTCACGACTGGGAGCCCCACCCCAGCGGCTCCCAGTGCCCTTCGCCGCGCAGCCTGCTGTTGACCACAGCCCCGGGCTCCCTGACCCCCGGGTGTGACCCCTCCCGGCCGCTGTGTTTGCAGGACCCCCTGTTTGTGCTGGAGCACAGCCTGCCCATCGACACGCAGTACTACTTGGAGCAGCAGCTTGCCAAGCCACTCCTGCGCATCTTCGAGCCCATCCTGGGCGAGGGCCGCGCCGAGGCTGTGCTGCTGAGTACTCCGGGGGAACGCCTGGAGCGGGACGGGGGGGGGGAGGCACGGAGAGCCCCAGGCCCACTGCCTGCTCTCACCTGCAGGGGGTGACCACACACGCTGCAAGACCGTGCTCACGGGCAAGGTGGGCGGCCTTCTGGCCTTTGCCAAACGCCACAGCTGCTGCATCGGCTGCCGCACGGTCCTCGGTCACCAGGGTGAGCACCGGGCCCCGGCCCTGGCCCCCCACCCCCCACCCTCCACCCGGCTCCTCCATCGCTGAGGTTCCCGGCCCCCGCCCTACGAGCTGGCAGTGCCACCCGGATGGGCCCTGGCCCCTGGGTGGGGGCTCCCATTTCCAGGCACCCCCTCGAGGGTCCTGGGCCCCCCACCCCGGGAGTTCCCCGGGGAGTTTTCTCCCACACACTTGCTCCCTTGTTCTCTTGTCTCCGGGGACTTTCAGAAGCCGGGATGGGCAGCGGGTGGGGAAGGATCAGGGATAGGGCGGCCCGGGCCCTGGCTGGGCCCCAGCTCCCCTGTGCCGCTCCGCCCCCTCTGCCAGGAGCCGTGTGCAAGTTCTGCCAGCCTCGGGAGTCCGAGCTGTATCAGAAGGAGGTGAGGGGCGGGGCGGCAGCAAGGGGAGGGTGATGGGGGGGGGGAGGGGGCGGCCGGGGCTACCTTCAGCCCTCTCGCCCCCAGGTGTCCCACCTGAACGCCCTGGAGGAGCGCTTCTCACGCCTCTGGACCCAGTGCCAGCGCTGTCAGGGCAGCCTGCACGAGGATGTCATCTGCACCAGGTACGCGGGGGCCCGCCTGCCACCCGCCCTCCCAGCTCCTGGGCGTGGGCACCAGAGCCCTGACCCGAAGGCCCTGGGGGGCGCACTGGCTGACTTTCGGGGTGTCCCAGCCTTGCTGCGGGGAGGGCTCGCTCGGGGGGCCAGCACCTGCCCAGGAAATGACCGCGGTTCTCTCTCTCCTGCTCTTGCACACACATGCACACATGTACACACGCACGCACACACATGCACGCGCACCTCGGCCCTGGCCCCCTCCCCCAGGCCGGGCCAGGCTTTCCCCAGGGAACAGGTGGGCGGGGCTGGTTCCCACGCCAGGTGACAGGTGATATACGGCTGGTGGAGCCCAGCGCCTCCGCGGGTACCCGCTGTTAACAGCTCCCCCCATGCCCGCTGAGCAAACAGCCTGCCCCTGGAGGGGGGTTGGGTGGGCAGCAGGCGGGGGCCAAAGTCCTGGGAACGGCCCCGGCCCCATCACCGGGCCGGGCAGCGCCCCAGCCCTGACCCTGACCCCCACCCCGCCCACAGCCGGGACTGCCCCATCTTCTACATGCGCAAGAAGGTGCGGAAGGACCTGGAAGACCAGGAGCAGCTTCTGAGGCGCTTTGGCCCTCCCGGCCCTGAGGCCTGGTGACCTCTGACCGGGGCAGGCTTCTCACCAGGGCTGGGGGGTGGGGGGGGGCAGTATTGGCAGAGAATTAATAAAGTTCAGGCCTTTTGTTTCCTGGTGCCTTGTGGTCTTTGGTGGGTGGGGTCCGCTGTCATGAACCCTGGCCCGGGTGGGTCATCTCCACTCATTGGGGTCCCCTGACCCCCAGGAAACCCCCGCTGACTTCCTCACCTTCCCTCCAAGACCCCTGGGCTCCCAGCACTGCTGCCAGCCCCATGAAGGCCATGCCTGCCTCAGTCTCCCACTGTGACCCTCCCTCAGGGCCCTGAGTGAACGTCTAACCACACATCCTCCTCTGCCTGGACCGCCCCGCCCTCCAGGTGCTGACCTGTTTCCTCCAGGCCTGGGGCAGCCCCTCACACGGAAGCTCCCACTCCCTGGCACAACCCAGGGGACCCCCCCCTTCCCGTGTCATACACCCACGATGTTTCCACCCTGGGGTCCTCACAGGCTCTGGGCCTGGGTTTTCCTCAGAGACGCCCCCCCGCCCCCCTCGCAGGCCACGTCCACTCCCGAGAGTCCCGGCAGCCCCTTCTTGCCTTCAGACCCCACTGGTGCTTGAATCTGCCCCTCGATGTCATGTGCCCCCCATCCCCAGCAACCCACTCCCCCTCTGGTTCCTGGGCCTGGGTCCAGAGCCCACCCCGTTTACTGACCCCCACTTCACTGACCACAGGACCCCTTGGCTTCCCTATTTCCTTAGGGTCCCCCTGAATCCAGTTCCTCTCCCATCTCCACCCCTCAGGGTCAGCCCCCCATTCCCACCCCAACTGTGGGGATCCCCAAATCGAGATGGCCCCTGGGCCTGCCCTCTCCACCATGTGACCAAGGGGTTGTGCAATCCAGCCCCCTCCCCTGACCCTCCCTGAGGGGATTTTCGAGGAGGGCTGTGCTCTGTGCAGGCCAGCCGGCACCCCTGCCCCCCCCCCAGGGGGCTGGGCCAAGGTATAAATAGGGGTGGTGGCTGGAGCAGGCAGCAAACCCAGCCCGGCACCACCATGCTCGCCTTGGAGGCTGCACAGTAAGTGGGGTTCCCTAAAGGAAGGCATCCCTCTGCACTTAGGCCCCTCTGCCAGGCCCCCCTCAAGGGGCTGGTCTGCCCCACCCAGGGGGCAGGGGGGTGGGAGGGAGGGGGTCCACACTGCCTTTTGCCCCTTCTAGATCTCTACCTCTCCTACCTCGGCTTCCTTCCTCCATCCTACCCCCGTCTCTCTCAGACCTCGCAAATCTCTCCTTGGGATGCTTGCCTGTCTCCTCTCCTGCTGATGGCCTCTCCCAGGCGGCCATCCAGGCCTGTCTGTCCCCCCAGGCTCCCACGGGGCCTCACCAAACCTCTGGCTTGCTCACTCGTTGCCCACTCTGCTGCTTGCCGCATCACTTTTGTTTCTGGGGCTCTATTCTCTGCTTCTTGCTCCCTCTCTGTCTCTGTCCCCGTCTCTTTCCAGTTCTTTGTCTGTCTGCTCTCTCCTGCTGTCTCCCTGTCTCTCCCCTGGCCCCATCTGCCTATCTCTGGGACTCAACCACTTCCTGCATCAGCGAATGTCTCTCTGCACACTTTCCATCCTTCCCTCCTCTCCCATCTCCTTCCCATCCCTGCCCAGCGGCTCTCCATCTCTCCTCTGGTCCAAGGTGGACCCATTTAACCGACTTGCTGACAGAGGCCCCCTCCCTGCCCCTACCGGCCCACTGGCGCCCACACCGCCTCTCCAGGGACTTTCTCTCCCTCACTTTCCCTGCCCCCAAACCAGCCTCTCTCTATGCAAATCCCAGGGGAGGGGGGACATTTGCCTGTTCCCCCCCCACCCCCACTTCCTGTCCCCGCTCGACTGTGGTGGGGCTGGTCTCGCACAAGGACATACAGCAAAAGAACTGCGGTGGTCACAGCTGCAGCTGCCTCCCCCCCCCAGCCCCGCCCCATCGGCTCCCAACCACCCTGAGACTCAGGTGGCTGAAGGCACCCCTGACATGCCCCTGTGTCTCTCCCCCTCCAGGCTTGACGGGCCACACTTCAGCTGTCTGGTGAGTCGGGGCCCCGGGGGCCAGGGAGGGTGGGGGGGGAACCCACATGGCCCACCTTGACCCCCTGCCTCAGTTTCCCCTTCTACTCCTTCCCGTCACTTTGTCTTTCTGACTCTCCCTCCGTATCTCCCACCAGCACCATGCCCCATCCCCTTCATGGACCTTTCTCGGCCGTCTCCTGCCAGCGCTCGGGCTCTGGGTCCACTTCCCGGCATGGGGCGGGATGGGGGTCCTTGTGTCTTTGGCTTTGTGTCTCTTCCTCCGCCCACCCCACATTCAGCAAACCTATTTATTCCTTCTTTCCTTCTCTTCTTTGCTAAACTGTATTTTCAAAAGCGTAGTCTAATAGTTCAGACACACAGGATACTACACTTACCACCCATAACCCACAACTCTGTCCAAGAACCAAAATCTCACTCACTTGTGGACACCCCACCACCACCAGCATGTCCCACCTTCCTCCAACTTGACAAGTTTTCTGCTTTTTTTTTTTTTTTTTTGCTTTGAATTAGAATCTAATGATGCCCTACACATTTAAATTAATTTTATATCTTTTGATCTATATTTTCTCTTCTTTTAATGGAGGTATAACCTACAAATTGGCAAAGTGGCAGGTCTTGTGTGCAGCCTGGTGACGTTTCACATTACACACACACCTGTGTAAGAGCTAACCAGACCGACACATAGAACATTTCCTTCCCTCTGGAAGATTCCCAATCAACAATCACCCCTCCCCCCTGGGATCTTTGCCAACACGGATTAGTTTTGCCTGGTTTTGACCTTGATCTGAAGTGCATCATGCAGGATGTCTCCTTTTGGGTCTGGCTTCCTTCATCAACGTTCAGTGTGTATCGGGCATTGTTTTGTTGTTGTTGTTGTTGTTTTTAAGTAAACTCTCTCCCCAACGTGGGGCTCGAACTCATGACCCGAGATCGAGAGTTGCGTGCTCCACTGACAGCCTTGGTTCTTTTCCCTTGCTGTATAGTACTCTGCTGTAGGACCCCCGCCTTCCCACACACACACCCCAACACCACCAGTTTATCCATTCTCCCGTCCATGGGCTATTTCTCGCTTGGGGCTATTAGAAAAGCTGTTCTCAAACAAAGCCACTTTGTGGACGTATGTTTCCAGTCCCTTGGGGGAATATCTGGGAGTGAGGCTGCTGGGATGTCTGCATGTCTAGCTTTGGTCTTTACTTTAATTGCTAAAGCAACACACAATTCTTGGGGTAGATCAAAGCAATACAGAGGTGAACAAAGAAGCACTGAGATTTTCTTTGCCTCTGTAGAAACACTGCCACCCCTGGAACAGGCGAGCCTAGGGGGGAATTGGTCCACACTTTCCCCACGCCTTCCTGGAGCCCACGGTCTTAGCAGGTGCTGGCCGCCATGGCCCTCTCTGAGACCCTGGGTCTCGGCGTTTCTGCGCATCTCCGCCTGTGTCTTTCATTCTCTGTGTGTGTGTTCCTGCTGTGTTGTGGGTGTGTGGGGGTGTGTTCCTGCTGTGTTGTGTGTGTCCCCACTTTCTGTGTCTCTGTATATCTATCTCTTGGCCCCTGTCTCTGGTGCCTGGTCTCTGTGTCTCTTTCTTTCCTTCTCCCAGCCCTCCCCTCTTTTCCCCTGTCCCTGTCAGAATCCTCCTGCTGGCCCAGGATGGGGTGGGGGCTCCCCGAAGCCTGGGATGACCCCTCTTCCTCCCCCACCCCATCAGTACCCAGATGGCGTCTTTTATGACCTGGACAGCTGCAAACATCCCAGCTACCCCGACTCAGAGGGGGCTTCTGGTGAGTGGCCCTGCCCTAGCCATCCTCCTGACCTGGACCTTGGGCCCATTTCACAGATGGGGGAGCTGAGTCCCAGGGGAGGATGTCACCTAGTGCAGCAGGATAAGGTTAGCCCAGGTCTCCAGACCTCCTCCCCTTTCCTCTCCCACCCACCCTCTTGCCCATGCAAATTCTGGGGCCAGAGATTTGCAAGGCCCACAATGGCCTCTCTGTGCTGGGGGCTTCGAGCGGGAAGGGCTGAGGCCAGACCTGGCTTCTGACTCAGCCCCCTCCCACCCTCCCCCAGACTCCCTGTGGGGCTGGGACCTCAGTCCAGCTGTCCCGGCCGCCTCCTATGAAGCCTTCAACCCAGCTGTGGCTACCTTCAGCCACCCCCAGAGCGTCCAGCTCTGTTATGGACCCTCAACCTACAGCCCCGTGGGGAACCTCGACCCGGCCCCCAGCCTAGAAGCCCCGGGGCCCAGCTTCCCAGCGTACCCCACGGAGGACTTCACCAGCCAGGTGAGGGGAAGGGACACGATTAACATCCCCATCGTTTGATCAAGATTTACTAGATGTCAGGCAGCTTGTGAAAGCCTTTGTAAACCTCTGAGGTTAAGCACCGTTTTCACTCCATTGCACGGACCAGACAACACAGGCACGGATGTTAGGCAAGCGGCAGCCTAGAAGGCCATGATCTGTGTTGGGCAGGCTTTCAGGGAGGGGGCCCGGGCATCCCTTGGCCATGCCACAGAGATCTAAATCAAGGCCAGAGTGCAGGCTGCAAAGAGTGGGGAGGGCCACAGTGGGGACCCAGGAGGAGGAAGCTGAGGGAAGAGAGCAGAGGAAGGGAGGGAAGGGGGTCCCTGGACTGCAGGTGATCCTGACCTTTTGCAGACCATGGGCCCCCCAGCGTATGCCCCATACCCCAGCCCTGCGCTGTCGGAGGAGGAGGATCTCCTGCTGGACAGCCCCACCCTGGAAGTTTCAGACAGCGAGTCGGATGAGGCCCTCATGGCTGGCCCCGAGGGGAGGGGATCTGAGGCAGGTACGTAGGAGCTAGTGGGGTCGGGTGGGGTGGGGCTTCAAATGGAGATGGGGGAGGGGCTAAAGGAACCCCGGCTTCTCAAGCACCTACTGTATACTCCAGTGCTGAGGGCGGTTCCCTGTGTGACCTGGGGCAAATGACTACCTCTCTTTGCCTGAGTTTCCGATCTACAATGGGGATGACAGTAAGTGTCTATTACTGGTGTGTGTGGGGGCGGATTAAGTGGGACGATATAGGTAAATGAGAGCAGTGCTTGGCACAGAGTGGGCAGTCAGTAAGTCTCCACCGTTATTTGAAACAACAGCGACGGACATAATCACCACATCAACACCAGCCCATGGAACCCCTGTTTCCACCCATGTGCCTGACATGTAGTATGCTCAACTCCTGGGCAGTTAGGATCATGAGTTACTTTCTCTACTGGCTCTCGGTTTCCCATCTGTAAAATGGGTGGCAGCAGCCCCATCTCCTGGTGCTCTGAAGATGAAATGAGCTCATAACTGTAAATGCCTAGCACTAAGTGCTTCACGAAGGTTTGTAAAGGTAATACGTGTGTGCGCGCGCGCGCACGCACACACACACACACACACACACACACAGCCTCATTTATAGCTGAGGAGAGGCCAGCTCAGAGAGGTTAAGTCGCCACCTCAAGGTCACTCACTGCTGGGAAATGGCAGACGGGGGGTTCTTGTGGCCAATGCCCTGCTATGAACAGCCCCCTCTCTGGCTTCGGGGGGCCTTTTGCTCCTTGTAGGAGCCCAAGAGTCAGACCCCCGAACCTTCCAGGATCCCAGTCCCTCTGGGGCTGAGAAATGGCTAGGCGGGTTCAAACCCACTCCAGATCTCTTCACCACCACTCAGCGCCCTGTTATAAGCCTTTGAGGAGCCCTGGCAGCCCATTTCACAGATCCTCTCATCCATACGCAGGGCAGATACGTGTTACTATGTGCTGGCCATCGGCAGGGTAGAGGAGAGACGGACAAACTCAAGATAAAGCAAAGCAGGGGGATGGGAGCTCCGGGGTAACAGCTTCCGGGAGGAGAGCGGCCGGCCTCCGATGGGGGTGGTGGTCGCACAAGTCGGAGCCACCTCCCTCGCCCCAATGCTCTCGGCCGGGAGACTGAGGCTTGCTGGGGGCACGGGGGCGAGGGGTGAAGCGGGGTGGGCGTGGGGCGGCGCCCAAAGGCTCCCTCCCCCTAACGCGTCCCCACCCTCCGCAGGGGCCCGCAAGAAGCTGCGCCTGTACCAGTTTCTGCTGGGGCTGCTGACGCGCGGAGACATGCGCGACTGCGTGTGGTGGGTGGAGCCGGGCGCCGGCGTCTTCCAGTTCTCGTCCAAGCACAAGGAGCTTCTGGCGCGCCGCTGGGGCCAGCAGAAGGGCAACCGCAAGCGCATGACCTACCAGAAGCTGGCGCGCGCCCTGCGCAACTACGCCAAGACCGGCGAGATCCGCAAGGTCAAGCGCAAGCTCACCTACCAGTTTGACAGTGCACTGCTGCCCGCCGCCCGCCGGGCCTGAGCCCCGTGGGGACTCTCCGGGGCTCCACGTCTGCGTCACGTTGGCGTCCCCACACCCTCGGTCATAGGACCCGTGGATTCCCCACACTGCGGGGGGGCGGGGCGGCTGCCTTAATCCCTAAGCCCTGCTCAGGGCCCCTCTGGGACACTCCCCCCCCACCCCAATCGTGTCTGGGGCCCCTCCAGGATTTCTTTGTCATGTTCAGGATCCCCAGGATCCTCATGTCTTGGGTCACAGGACCCATAGAGGACTATACTATATGTCCGTGTGGAGGGGCTGGGCAGGACCGTGCTTCCAGAATTCCAAGAGCTTCTCTGGGATCCCCTTGTGGTGTCTGAGATCGTCCAACCAAGCCTGGGAGCTCTCTGAGCTCCCGTGTGTGTCTGGGATTCCTTAATCTCATCTGGGAAGGGTGAGCCCACAGGTCATCACACGGGGAGGGGGTTGCTGATGGCGACCCTAAGCCCTGTCCAGCCAGGGTCTCTCTGGGATCCCCTTCTCATGTCTGACACTCTCCCATCAGATATGAGATCTCCTACTTAGGTCTGGGGCCTTCTGGAAACCCTTTATCACATCTCAGATCTCTGTGCCCATCTGTGACTCTCTTGTCTGTTCCCCCAAATACGTTTGTCATCTTGAGATCCCCAATTCTCTGGAACCACTGTGCTATCACTTTTTGTGTGTGTGTGTCTGGAATTCTCCAATCACATCTAGGGTGCCTCTGGGATCCTTTGGCCATGTCTAAAAACACCCTTGTCAGGTCTAAGGGGGGACCTCAGTGAACCCTGTCTTGTCCAGGCCACCTCTGGGATACCCTTGTCTGTCTGGGATCCTTCCAATCCCATCTGGGGCCTCCCTGGGATCCCCTATCCGCTAGGCCCCTTTGGGGACCCCATCAGCAGACCTGAATTCTCACGGGGACCCTCCCTTTCCTGGGGTGCCCTCTGTAGGGCCAAGCTAGGGATCGTTCTGGCCAGTCAACTGATTTCTGGGTGATCTTGGCAGCCCTCCCATGTCATCTCTAACCAGAGGTCTCACATTGGTACCCCCACCCCTCCAGATCCCTTTGGGACAAATCAGATCTCTGGTGGTGGGTCCTTCTTTAGTTCACTGCAACAGTGAGGGAGATTTTGCATATTCCTTTCAAACTTTGCACAATCCAGCAAAGGTGGGCAGCTCTGCGGTGCAGAGAGGCTGGAGGAGGGGGGCAGCCACTCCTAACAGGGCACCTGTTCTCCAATCTGTCCCAGTCCCTGCTGCCCCTGGCTGTCAGACCCCAGTGGCTTCTCTTGGTCGCCTGTTGGCCCCCAACCATTTGCGTTTTGACCCTGGTATGAACCCACGGAGGTGAAATTGGGTTCACCGTGGAAGCTCTGATTCGAACCCTGTGGGGGTGTCACAGACTGTGGGCTAAGATGCCAGAGTCCCAGGTCCTTGAGTCTTCGTGGCTGGGGGATCTCAGGTGAAAGACTTGCTGCTTCTGGGCCTCAGTTTGTCCCTTCTGTGAAAGGGGAGAGGAGGAGGGGGAGGAAGATAGAAGAAGTCCCTTGCAGCCCTGCTGAGCCTTTGAATACATCTTCTGGAAATCTACCCCACCACCCATTCATCGATGTCCAGGAGCAGGAGGACAAGGAAAGAGCTGCAAGGACCCAGACAGGGAAGAGGTCCTTATGGGGCACATAGCTGCTGGTAGCAGAGCCCAGGCTGGGACCTGCCCTCCAAAGGACAGCACACACACCCTCACCCTGGAATGGGGGCAGGGTGGGAAGAGAGTGCCAGGGACGAAATGTCCCCAGGGCCTCCTCTTGCAAATGAGGTACCTTTTGCAAAAACTATCTTCATCACCCAAAGAGTGGAATAAAATAAAATAAAATAAAACAAAACAAAGCAAAACAAGTCAAGGTAGACAGACTTCCTAGGACCCTTTGTTAGGGACGGCAATGCTGTCTGTCGGCCCAGGCCTGCGGACCTTCAGAGACACTGCGCGGCTGCGCCGGCGAACCACAAGACAGGAGATGAGGCGTAAGAGCCTCCTCACCTTTGAGCTTTGAAGGCCGCGGTAAAGGGCTTCAGATGCAGGCACTGCTGGTTCGGTTCAATTTCTCTCTCTCTCTTTTTAATAAAGATTTTTTATTTTTAAGCAATCTCTACACCTAACATGGGGTTCCAACTCTCAACCCCGAGATCAGGGGTCGCCCGTTCTTCCAGGCTGAGCCAGCCAGGCGCCCTCCCTCTCTTCCCCACCGTCTCCCGGGTTCCTTTTCCGGCAAGGTCTCTGTCCCCCCTTCTGCATTTCTGTCCTCCTCTGTACGTCGGCCCCCCTCTCTCTGGATATAGCACTCGGGCGGGCAGGGCGGGCAGGCCGGGCGGGAGGCTCCTGGTGGCAGCGCCGCCCTCTGGCTCCCGCCGCTACACCTCACAGCCGGGCCCGCGGGAGCGGTGTGGCAGTCTGCCTGGCAACCCGTGACGTCACAGGGAGGCTGCCGCCGGGTTGGCTCGACGCTCCCGGGAGGCGGGGCAGTTTCCGGCTCGCAGGGGGTTTTGGAAAAGCCGGTGAGGGGGCAGATGGACAGGAAGAAAATCGGGAGGGACTTGTCTTCACTCAAACCTGCTCCCTCACCCACAGTTGCTTCCTCTCCCCCACTCCGCCTTAACCCCAAGCCCCCACACCCTTCTGCCTCTCACACTCACCTCGCCTTCCTCCCCATGATACCTACAGCCCCTCAAAGACCCCGCTCTTCCCCCAATCGCCCCCTTCTGGCCTCCTTCACCTCCCCCCATCCGGCGTCCAGCCACCACCACCCCCATTCTGAAAGCCACAGGTCCCCCTGCCGGGAAGGGCGCCAACGTCCGGGCAGCCCTCCAGGGCCTTCCCGGTCTCCCCACCCGCCCCGCTGGGGGCACTCGCTCCCTCCCCCGCGTCCGGTGCCCGCCGCGCCCGCTCCGGGAACCCTCGCGGGGAGCCGGCCGGCTCGGTCCCAGGAGGGGCAGCGGCCAATCCGGGGTCCCAGGTGGCCGGGGCCGCAGGCCTTCGGATGTGCTCTCGCCCAGGGGCGGGACTCGAGAGTCCCCGAGCCTCAGTGCCCTTCCTGCTGGCACAGAGACCTCCCCCCACCCCCCGCAGCCGTCCTGCCTACGCTGGGAAACCGGACCCTCCCTCGCAGCTCCGGTTTCCCGAAAACTCCTGACTTGCAGATACTAAGAATGGCTTTCTAGACCGTCTTCCCCTTTTGCCCCTACGGCGGGGTTCTGGCTCGGAGCCCTCACCCATTTTAGACCCCAGCCCCTTCCTCTCCCGCCTCCTAGGAGTTACGAGTCCAGGCACTCATCCTTCTCCATTTTCCTGGACCCATGAATCTGAGCCCCAGACCCAGAAGTCCAGGCCCTCCTCCCTCAGTGGGAGTCCTCGCCCCCAGCACCCCCTTACTGGGACCCGGGTGTCTGAACCCCAGGCCCCTTCTCCCCAGGGACCTGGCATTCAGCCACCTCTCCTGGTCCAGATGTTATTTCTCACCCTTCAGAACTCGCCCCGGGAATGGGAATGTGGGGCAGCAAGGGAGGGCGGGGAGGCAAGTCTGATGCCTCCCACAGCCTCCTGGGAGTCTCTGGACTCCTTAAAGGGCTCCCTCTGGGGGCCCACCTGTCCTCCCTAGGGCCCTGAGGGACAAGCTGCCTCCGAGGAGGAGCGAGGAGCCAGAGGAGGTCTGCTGACATGCCTGAGGCAAAACCAGGTGGCTTTCAGGACTGCGCTCCCTGGGTGGAGAGGCGGTCCCCTTTTCTGAATGGGGGCTAAGGGCTCCTCTGTAGGTTTGGGAGAATGGGATATGTTCTCTGTGTGGGGAGGGGTTCCCTTCCTTGTGTGGGGTGGGGGGTCCCATATCTGTGTTGGGTGGGTGGGTCTCCTTCCCTGTGCAGTGAGGGTGTTCCATTCTCTGTAGGGATTTGGGGGGCCCATCTCTGGGTGCAGATGAAGATTCTCTGAATTTGAGTCCTTTTTCTCTATAGGGATGGGAGTGCTGTGTATGTAGACCAGGGAGTCTTTGCATGGTGATTGGGGTCCTCTATCTTTGGGGATGGAGTCCTCTTCATAGGGATCGGGGACGCTTTTCTGAGTGAGCACTGAGTCCTTTCTCTGCAGGGGAGTGGAGTCCTTGTGTGTATAGAGATTAAGGGGTCCTGTCTCTGTGGTGAGGAGAGCTCTTGTCTGTATAAGGAATTCTATAGGAATCTGGGCTTCCCCATGAAGGAATTAGAGGGCCTTCTCCATATAGGGGCCCTTTATGTGAAGTTTGATGCTCTTCTTTGAATGGGACAGGGGGCATTTGTTTACATGGGGGTGCTGCTTTATCTCTCTGAAGAATTGAACAGAAGAGATGCGTCTCTGGGAGGGACCCTCCTCCTGGGGTGTCCAGACTGCTGGCATTAGGCCAACCAGGCTGTGGAGTGGGGGTCCAGCCCCTCACTGCAGCTGGGGCGCTGGTGGGCCAGGAGCCAGTAGGCAGGGCAGGTGAAAGATGCTGTGGTCAGCACAAGGCGTCCAGTTTCCAGCCCAGGGAAAGAGCTAATTATACCCCCAGGACCCAAAAGGTCAGGGCCTGGTGGCCTGAGTGGATGGGACATGGCTTGCCTGGGGCAAGGGGAAACCTGATAGCTCAGACTCTCAGGATTAGAAATAAATTTACACCTAAAGGGGCAGGACTTCTGGGTCTGAGGGAGGAGGGGCGGGGGGCGGGGCCCGGACTCCTGGGTTTTGGAAGAGGAAGGCACTGAGCACTTGCTCAACTGAGAACATCTTTTACCTCGCAGTAGCGAAAAAGGCCCCCAAAGGCAAAGAGGCTGCCAAACCAGCTCCCAAGGAAGCCCCTCCTGAGGAGGCTCCTGTAGAGGCCCCCAAAGGTGAGACAATGTTCCTGTGGGATCTGCAGAACCTGGCTCTTCATCCCCCAGGCTCCCCTTGCCTCTCTGCACCCACCCTGCTCTCTCTCCTTTAGTCCTACCTC